TATAGCTGCTGATAACAGCACTGCAGATAGTCTGAAAAGTGGAAGGAAATATCAGAAAAATATCTAAATGGAATAAAATCAGGGCTTTGCTGTCCAAAGAGGCAGCCACTTTACTCACCTTGACATTAGCAGGAGTGTCCCACAGAGCTGCCAAAGGAGACTGTGAAGGCACAAACCTGACATGCTGAAACCCAGCATTGTAACATCATCCTTCTGAACAATGGAAAATAATGGAAATCTTGCCACTTGGAAATTGTAGGTTAGTTTTAGACTAAGTTCAAAACACTGCCCATGACACCTTTAAATTACACAAATCATGACAGTTTTAGAAAACTAGGGGCTGGGGGACTGAGCCATTCAACATACCTGAAGTATATATAACAGAACAGTAGGGGGAAAAGAATCCCAAAACAACAACATAAAATTCCTCAGAAACTCAAGTTAAAAAGTATTCAGTCTGGATCGAAGTGAATGGCAGACAGTTTAAAAAAAAAATATTTTCCAGGCCTCTTAAAAGCAATCACACACAAAAAGCATACTGAAAATTTGCCTTCAGAATTCCCATAAAAAAAGAGAAAAAGGCATTTCTAACCAAATCCTAGCTTTCTCCTTCTATAGAACTACCACAGGCAAACATTTCTGCATTTTTCCTTACTTGTAATCTCTAATTCTGCCTACTGTCAGAGGTGCTGTGCTCCCTGCAGGAGAGAGGATTTTACAGCTCATGAACCTCCAGACTGACCTTGTCTCTATTTATGAGTTCAGCAATGTATGACACCCAGATCTTCCCAAAACACTTCCCAAAATGTTTATCATCCACTCAGAAACTGCTGAAAGAAAAATCATTGATCTAAACCAGAAAAAAAATAATAGACTTTGATATAAACCATCTGTTCTTATTTCCTGATCCACTTCTTTATGCAACGACTGTATCACTTAATCCCTCCCACTGTCTTTATTAGCTATTGTTTGTGTAGTACAAAATTACAAAGATGAAAAATGGTATTTTTATGGGTGTGTGTATATTATATACGTGTGTATATTATGCATGCATGTATGTATTTGTGTACATATATAAAGATATGAAAGAGGAGGGAGAAAAAAAAAAGGAAAAAATAATAAAATAATAATAAAAGGAGTGTGAAGCTCTGCATTTATCAATTTGTTTACAGCTGAGCTCTTTTAACTGGCAAAGTTTCAGGTATCACAAGCCCACCAGGTCCTCTGCCAGACTTACGACTCCAGGAATCCTACAAGTCTTCTGCAGAAGCAGCAAACTGCACACTGGCAGTTCTCAACAGCTTTAGTAATCATCAGTAGCACAAAGAGTCCCCTACATAATTAGTATTTCTTTGTGTTAGTTATAAGGATTTTGCATATAATCCCCCTGTTAGGTACACTCCTCAATCTTCACAGCCCCAGACTTTTCTTTTTTTAGCATGCCTGAAATACTGAACTAAGAACATGACATCGCCAGCATTATCGGGGAGAGAGCTCGGTGTTTTAATGGCCCAGTTACAAAAGAGTGAAAAAAAAATTGTGGTGATTAAGAAGTTGGCAGGTCCTAGAAAGGGGCTGCATAACTACTTCCTCCTCATGCACCCTCTACTCCATGTAGAGCAAAAAAGTTTGGTTTTAAAAGAAGACTTCTTTTTAAAAAGAAGACTCTGTACATCAATAACCAACAACTGTCACTGCATTTGCTAATAATGTATAAGGAGATTAGTTTAATTAGTCAAACAGTTAATAGTGACATTATTTCAACTAGTTTTCAGCACTGACACTCTCTTGAAATGAGTTTTATTTTCCTCAGGCTATAATTTCAGCCTGTTTACAGACCAGTTATATAGCACTGGTGCACATTAGTTAATCATAATACATTGTATTAAACATATCAAATTAGCTCCACAATCAAAGGTTTTAAAAAAAAAGTACATACTAACAAATTTTAAAGCAAGTGATTTAGTTCTCTCTTGCTAAAATTTTTTAACAGCCATATTCATAAAAAAAGGAAAAAAATAATTTGACTTTAAAAAAACTGTTTCTTCCCTGGAAAAGAAAAAAACAATCCTCAAAAGTCAGAAATTTCTAGTAACATTAGGAAGCACAGTATCACTAATAGCTATCACGTGAAATTTAAATATTAGCAATGTGTTAAAACTATATGCAAAATAATTAATAAGTAATTTCAATTACTCTTTTTCTCATCTCTCAGTATTATAAAACCCGAACATTTTACAGAGTTTTTACAAATAAACACAGTACAGATTATTTCTGACATATTTCTGAGCAACAGAGAAGAAGATTCATTCTCAGCAGAGGTGATACCCGAGTGCCGAAAATCCCACGCAACATTAAGAGCCATTTTTCTTGCTCAGGAAAAAAAAAAAAAAATTAAAAATGGTAGCACATAATTATCTCACATTTCTGTAAAATGTACACTTACAAATGAAGAAGTTGGTTTGCCTTTATAAAGGCTCTATTGTCAAGCACTATACTTCAGAACCTCTAACTCATTAGAAAATTCTACCTTAGGAAAATAAAGCTAGAAATTCTAAATAAAGTAATTATTCCTTGAAAACAGACAGACTACACACAGTAAGGTTACCACACTAACAGCTCTGATGAAACACACAGAGCAATTAAGCAGAAAAAATACTACTAAATGAAAAGAGGTACCCAAATCTGGTCCAAAATACTTTTAAAACCAACTATTTACATAATAAATGTAAATACAGAATATTTAGTACCACCTCTACTCTCCAAGACAAAGGTTCATTTACCTAACCATATAAAGCAGTAGTATACATGCACCTTAACCAGGAAATATATTTTTTAATCCTTTTGTCATTTGATTTTCTGCCAGCAGTTTGATACAAGCTACTTGACTAAGTGATGAATGCAAATTTTCACTTTGGTAGTCAGGCATAACAAGGGTAACTCTATACATTGTGATCTTTAAGGTATGGAAACCAGACACTGAAATTATTTGGAAGTTAAGAGACTTTCTTTCTTCAGAGAAAAGTTTTCTCTGAAAGCTGTGCATGAAAATAGCTTTACATGCAAAAACTAAATATTTGTCTCATATTTTATAGCTTGAAAAAGATCATTTTATTTGGTTCTAATTATCAGTCTTTGCATCACTGTTTAACACAGTCTGCACACGAACAGCACATTTAAGCATCAATAATGATAGTTAAATGTACATATCCATACCCTTTGGATTTGTAATAATAATGCCCTGCATCCTGGCATGTGCTTCATTTGTTGGCAGAGCTTGAAATTCTCAGAAGACACAAGGTTGTTTTTACTTCGAAGACTGTAGCATTCAAAAATAACCTGTTCATAAACTGAGTATGCGTCAGCAACCTAGCCACAGGTCTCCAGCAAGTACTTGGCCAGGGAGCGGGGAAGTTGTATCAGCCTTCTCTGAGCAGTCAGCTGTGAGGAGTTGGGAGGTGACATCAGGAGTTCTGAGTACGTGTCCTGTACTTCTCCTTGAAAAATGGGAGGGGCAATGGACAGTTGGTCTAGAAGGGCCTACTTGCTGCAGTAGCAAACTAGTGTAACTCATTCCTAGGAAAAAGAAAATCTTGAAACTTTCCCCTCAAAATTACATCACTTAAAGTTTTTTTTTAGGTAGCAAAAGGTTCTTCTACCTGATTTCTCTTTAAGAAATTGATCTTTAGTCTCCCTTAGTACATATGCTTATTTCTTCTACCAGTGTCCTAGCTGAATACAAGTATCTATATGCAATGTATGTGGCTATTATAGGATAAATAAGAAGGCAACATTTTCTTGTTGTCTCACCAAAGGTTAATCTTAGGGGGGGAAAAAAATTAAAACCCAACTATATTATATACTGTACATATAAATGATGCTGCTATAACACAGCTGAAGTCAGAGTGTTAATTCAGGTAATTTTATCCTGAAAGCTACTGAGCACCATCAATGCAGATGGCAGTCTGAAAAAGTTGAAGAGGCTTCAGCATATCACAGGATGAGGAAATGTTCTCAGAGCCCTCCTGCAACATGATGGTAAAGCTTGCTTCCTTTCTAATAAATAATAAGAACTAAAGACTACTCTATTCTTCCAGAATTTTACAGACTTCTGACTAAATAACTCTTCTTTCTCTCTAGAGCATTTAACATAAATCTTCTCCATTCCTTCCTGAGGCTCCTCCTCTGGAAGAAAGTTGATGTGCCTTAGCACAGTGAAATCATTGCTCTAAAAGCCAGCCTGCTCATTAAATTATTCTGCTAGCTGTGTGTTCTCTCATTAAAAATGCATAAAGATCAGATAATTGCAGCACGTATTATTAACCTTGTTTTCCTTGTTTTCGTGTACAGGTTCTGTTTTGCTGCCTAGACAAAGACCTGGAAAGGGCAGCTTTCTACAATAAACTACAATAAGCTAAACTACAATATGAAAAATTCCCTCAGCTTTCCTTGAAGAGCACAAGGAATCACAGCGCAGTCAAAAACACCCATACTTTTATAATAACAGAGCAAAATACTGTAATCTCATTGTATACTTCTACAAATCTAAAACAGGCAGTCTTGGCTTTAGTTAAAGCTTCCGATAGGGAATTATTTAGATCAGCCAGTCTAATTCACCTAAATCTTCAAACATAGCTGCTATAAACTTCACAGATTTCCAGATTGACTCCTTCTCCGTCTTAAAGCTAGGCTGCACTTCCAGACAACAACCCAGCTAAAAATCCAATTAGGGTAGCAGCACTTCTGAAACACTGACCTATTTCTTTTTTTACTTGTTTTAATATGCATATACTCATGTTCTATTTCTGCAGAGGGCTATTTACACTGGAAATCAATACCCTTTGAAAACAAGTTACCATAAAATCCACCTATTTCACCCAAATAGAATCCATTCACAGGAGAAACAATGTTTCCCCGACTCCCCCCAAGCAACACATACAGTATGCAGTATACTGCAGCAAACTCTTGAAACATTCCATAAAAGACAAGGATCCTCCTACCTTGTTTAGCCCTGTCTATTCGACACATTCCCAACGTGAACAGGAACATCTGATATAAACAAACAGCCATATCTTTCCCATCGCATCATGGTAACTAATTCTCACACGAAACGATGAGCAGCCTGTAATGTTTTGGGGTTTTTTTTCTCAGAAAGCCTTGTGACTTATCTGAGGATTTTTTCCTCAGATGATGAAGCAAAGACACAGCCTAAACTCTGTTGCTGAAAGACTGCAGCCCTTCCTTCTCACAGAGCCCTCCCAGCATATGGCAGCCAATCACACCCAGCTTCGTCAGCCCTACTGCTCTTAAACTGATCCTAACGGGATGATTGACACAGCAACACAGCACTTCTAATGTGTAAAAACAATGCATCCATACCAATGAACCAGGAATTTCCCTCGCACAGGGAAGGAGTTTTACTGGTGAGGCAAAGCGATAGCTCCATGAAATAACATACGCAGCAAAAGCAAACAACTCCCTTTCCCTCCGCTGCAACAGCAGCTTCACCATCTCTTGCACAAGGATTTTCAAAGCTTTTGCTATTTGTAAACGCATGCACAAACAACATTTCTGAAATTGCAAAACTGCAGTGGTGCTGTTTTGTTTGTAAAGGTGAGACATGCACCATAATATATCAAACCATCTATCTTCTATTTTAACATGCAGCCAAAACACACTCTGATTCAGGCAGTAATATTCCCATTTTAATACTGCATAATCTTACGTGCAGTGTCTGCATTTAACAGCAATACAACCATAATATCTTTCTGATTATTTCAGACTGGTTGTTAGGGACTGCAGGTATGGGATGTTTCTCAATGAAAACACAATCTATACGATGGTGTTTTAATTCATATCCATGGCAGACAAATCCCATCAGCAGCATCTAAACTGAAGTCCATGCAATTAGCTTGCAACTGATGTTCATTTGTGTCAAGGTTCTGGCATAAGGACTACGATACCAGCTGCCATTTTCAAGTCAAGCTGCGGGTAGCTCGACATGCTTGGTACACAAGGTCTGCTGTCAACCAGTTTTCCTATACATTTTTCTAAAGTTTTAAAACATAAAAACAAAGCAGCCAAGGATTATTAAACAAGAGTTGCAATTAAGAAAAATACAAAAAGGAGCTTAAGCTGAAAATCAATCTTTATCCAAAAAGGGATAAAGATTGCAGCGCAACAGTACTTTACGCAGCAGTTTAGGCAATTCAAGCCATTACACAAAAAAATGTGTAAAATGTGTTTAAAATGCCACTAAAAGTTTAGAAATATGAATAGACAAGAGGAAAACAAAGCTCTCATTCACTGGCAGCTCTGTCCCAAGGCCCCATTGTTTCCTGTGGACTATTTTGCATATTATAAACACAGCTTCCCAAAAATCCATTATTCCTCTATCTAGCAAGCAGAAACTCCTTTTGGGCTTCACCATCTCCCACATAATTTGTGAAAACCCTCCCCTTCCAGGCATGGCTGAAATGTGTTCTTGCCAAGAAGGCTCCTGCCACTCAGCCCATACTTTCTGTTCATTCACCCCCTCCATTCGTCTCTATTCTGCCCTATATTAAAAAAAAAACCAAAAAAACCAAAACAAAATTCTCCTCAAAAAAAACCCAACAAAACCACAAATAGTTGATTCTGGTGGGTTCAAGAGACCCTGGGGACAAGGGAGGTAACTCCACCCATTATTAAGATGGCTTGGTGCATCTCGTCAGGATTTTCCACATTCTTCTGACTCTGCCAAACTTGAGCTGCCCTTGTTAAAAATTTTCCATGCCGGACATCTGCTGCAGGATTTATTGACTTTTCTGCCAAAACACAGTTTGCCTATTTCTGAGATAGCCTAGACAAAAACATGTTGCTTTGCCATATTTGTAACTCACTGGGGAACTCTGGCTCCTCTACCCATGTTGGGACAGCCTTGAAATTTGGCAAAGTGCTGATCCCTTGCTTTTTTGATGTTTTTGAGGGTATTTTTTTAAATATATCAAGGTTTTTTAATAGGTTTTGCTATGCATATGAAAATATTTTCCTATTTGACAAAACTTTAAAACCTGCTAATATTCAGCTGACTCACAGCATCTTTTTAATTTTTTTTGTTTCTGATCCCTACAGTGCAAATCTCGTAAAGTGTTCTGCAGTAAGCGTCCGATTCCTTCAGCAATCCGTCCATATGTGGCTGGAAAGGCACCAGCCCCACAGTGCGACTGAGCATGTAATGGGCTCAAGTTACAGGAGATTAGCCGGATTTCCCCTGTAACTGCTGCTCCCATCTGCCAGAGACCAGACATTGGAGCTGACAGCAGGAAGACAACCTCGCCTGTCGCTCTCATGACCCTTCGGCTGGTGCCCCACGGACGTGCGTGAGACAAGCCCTTCGGAGCGCACTGCAGAGGGGTGCCAGAAAGGTCAGCTGGGCCAAAATATGGCATGAGGCTGGGCACCGGAGGGACAGTGAGGAAGAGATGCAAGAGCCAGAGTCTGGCTGGCCTAGTCGAGCAGGTTACAACACAGAAGAAGATGGTGGCCCTGCCAGAGAAGGGAGAGTGAGCAGCCCAGGCAGCACCGGTCAGCAGGAGCCAGCCGCCCTCTCCACAGACCGCAGACACATCCATACCACAACACCCACCGAGAGCTTCTGTGGCCCATTAGTTCGCTCCAAAAGAGGGAGGAAATGTGCGAATTCGCTCAACCCTTCCCCGCCACAAACCCAAGGCAAGTCAGCAACACAAGTCCTGAAAAGGTGCGGGCTCAGCAGCTACCCGATTTCAAGTGCCACTGCTACACAGTGCACACACTGCTCTTCAGCCACTGCAGAGCTTTAACTGCAGTCAAACGGGGCTGGGCTGCTTCCAGAGAGCACTCCCAGGACTCCTGAACCACAAACACCAAACTAGCAGCCACACACCCACCCAGATCCTCGTGTGGGTCATTATGTTATAGATTCTCCCGTGACAGCAGATCAGAAGACCCTCAACTCAATTTGGCGTACTGAAAATACATCACATCCCATTTCTGAACCCTTTAGCTAAGACCCATCAAAAAGTTCAAGAGAAAATATATGCTCTTTCTCAAAAATGGCACTTGAGTAGTACCATAGTAAGGCATGACTTCATGGACTGCACAAAACTAATTTTTTAAAAATAATTGCTCTGTACATTGAGGAGGGACTAGTTCTCAAATAGAGATATGCCCAGGCATCCATTCATTTTTCACATCAGTTGCAAAGAAAAAGGCCAGAATTTCAATTTTCAGTCTGATTTATACAAACATACTATATATTAGATGGCAAAACAGCATCATCTTAGAGAAGCTGAGAAATTCAGATGTCAAACTCAACAAAGAATAAACAAAGGTAAATTCCCAACTCAGAAAATGCCATCTGCTCTGCCTGACATGCTCCTGTAATTAATGAATCAAGGGAAAAATGCTTCTATCAGTGACTATTCACACACAATTTTCTGAATGGTCTTGATACAACTTTTGAAGAAAAGTGGACTATTTTTGAAGTAATAAAGAGGAGGAGAACTGAAAAATGCAGAACCCACACAGTTATTTTTCCTTCCTTACTCTTGAATCACAGCAATTAGGTCTAATTCCAGAAACAACAAAACTTGTCAATTTAAAGGGAGTTTTGCAAGAAGGGTGGAACATATGTAACACCAGCACCGAAGTCACCAAGCAATTTATGCGATAGTCAGTTGCAGCAGATTGATGATTTTGAACTGTGCACAGATGACCTATGGCAACAGAGACGTTTTGATAAGTTTGGCAATGACAAAAAGAACTGCAAAACTATTTCCTGTGTCAGTAATAGACTCTTCCCTTAGTAACTTCCCACAACTGTTACTACGAGCAAAATTCAGCTTTGGTAGCTATGGTCTGAATGACAGCATAAAGAAAAGTCAAAGCAGCTGCCAAGATTTTAGAACTAGGCACTCATACATAATACCACTGACGCCAGCTTTTGCAAAATACCACAATTTCTATACTGAGGCTGAAGGGATGGTGGAAATCATTATTAAGTTAAAAAATTTAAAGAGTAATATCAAAATTCCAAGTTACTAATTGGGAACAGGTTCTGAAAGGACAGGTCTAATCTTTGTTTTAAAAACAGGCTTACCACAAGAACTTTAAGTCTGGCTTTTTAACTCTTTTAACTTCCTACCTCCCAGACATCCCAACATCTCCCTAACCTAAGAAAACTGGAGATTGTCTGTGCACAGAAAGGAAAAACAGGCTATTCTATTTTCATCATATATATGCTGAGAGAAATATAAAATGGAAACACTCCACTGAAGCAGGCACATATTCAAACTACATGTTAGGAATCAATCTTACCAAAATTAAGGTGGTTCCTGGAAGCTTTCCAAATGCTCTCTCTCCTTCCGCTGCTCGCACAAGGCGTTTAAGCCATGTCTAAATTGTGAGATCCAAACACATGGGTTCAGGCACACATCCAGTCTGCATCCTGACTTTATTTTAGGATGACACCAATTCCCCATTGGGATGAAGACCAAGTACATGTGCACCATTCCTTTAGAGGGTGGTTCCAGTTGGGAAGGATGATGAAGGCATCAGCCAGAGGAGAACTGCAGTTCACTCCAGCCAGGCTTTTGTAGCTGAACCTTTGAGACACATACACCAGGTGCCATGGAGAGCTGAGCTGCCTCAGGATTGTAGCCTTATGCACTTAGCTTGAAATACATTTGACCAAATATAAACAACCACATTTCACTGAGTCACTCTACTCCCCCTCTCTCTTTATAGTCACTGAAGAGAAATAGGCATTTGTGGGCTGTGATTCATCCTATCCCAAAGTAGCTATTCTAAGAGATTCCATCATATCCTAAAAGCATCTGTGTTTCTGTATTGGTTACCTGAGACGGTCACCCTTAGGCTTCTTCTATCATGTCCTTCATTAAACATGTAGGAGATGAAATCTTACTAGAGAAGAAGCCTTATTATGAACATAAATATTTAGATATTTCAGTTACATACACTGGATGGCTCTTTAGATTTTCAAATTCAGTTCAAATAACCAAAGACATTAGCATAGAGCTAAAGGACACCTGTATTTTGACAATGTACAGTTACAGCTTTGGTGTAAATCCTCAGCTTGCCATAAGCATGTTCCAGCTATGTTGCTATAAAAGCTACATAAGCTTGTTCTCTAAGCTATGCTGAACATGTTCCAGTTTTTTTTTTTCCCCCCTGACTGAACAGCAATCTTTGCAC